GTTTTCAAATACAGGAACTCTCAAACAATACTCACCGAAAGCCGCATGCTCGATGGTCAAATAGGTAATGCACTGATGAACCATATGCAACGAATTTGGACCTAAATCTGACGATATATTTATAGCATATTTATATACAATACACATGTAAACAAACGTTTCCATATATCCTTCTTGTGAAACAACGAGGTTCGAAACCTCTAAAATGGCTTTGTCACGTTCGATATCTCGAACGTTTACCGCCTTCACGACATCATTTGAAGTCACCTGGAACATAAAAAATACTGAGAACATTATAAATTCTACTAGACCTCATAGCACCAACCTGATAATTTTCAGTCACTTTCTTGATGACAACTCGAATCCCTCGGCGTCATCATTCAAATTTGGTAGTACATTAGCGGGCAAAAGGAACTCCTTCATCTGTATCATCAAGAAGAAAAAAATTTCCATCTAAGATCGGATATGGCACTAAACAATACCTCTCCACCAAGTTATCAACTCCACTTGAGCAGAAAAAAGTATTGAAACACGATCATAGAAAAAAACGCCATCCTTTTTAAACACATCAGGGTGCTTTTTGGTTATGTGCTTGTAGATAATCACAGTTGAAATTTTACGGTGCTACTTAGGGAAGCTGAAAACTTTCTTTGAAAAAGATAGTTCAAAAGAATGAAACCGCCATCACAACTACATCCTGATGTTTTAAACGAACACCAGAAGCTAGTAATAAAACACGTACTCGTCTTTCGTTTGTTTTGTCATTTCTCTGAGAAATTCCCGATTATCCTTTTTATAAACGATGCACATGCGTACATCGTATCTGAAGAACGGTATGTTTGGCTTCAAATCTGCAAATCAGTTTTAACTCACATTACAATACATCAAATAGAGTGGAGGTACTGAGGACATACCAAGCCTAGTAAGATTCGTCAGGAGCTCAGTTTTGATCCCTCGACCTCCAGGAGGTCTTTTTTCAGGCATCGCTACCGTTTTCACCTAAACATGAAAGTTTATTTGAATCATAAAGTCTTTTCCCAACTACTCGTATTTAGTCGATATCCTATCTAGGACAGAAGTTATAACAGGCACCGGATGCTAACTGCACACTACGCACTCGGCGACAACTTCGAATCAGTTCATTGATTGATGATTTTGACTCCAAGTGGCAGGTCTCCAATGATTAATGAAAAGACCTAAAACATCTAACCGGTGAGTGTTTTGAAATGAAGTTTTTTCTATGCGACCCAAAATTCATCTCTTACATTTTCCGCTAAGGTTATGAAGGCCTTTGATTTAATATTTTGCGAATCAATTTGACCTTTCCAGGCTCTGAAGATGGCGAACCTTGCCGAAAAGTTAGCCACCACGACTGTTGTAATATTCACGCTGCATTATTAACTGTATTGTTATATGCTTCGCTGATATTCAATAAATCATACTACTAACACCTCGGAGCGGCTAAACAGAAGAAGATACTGAATTATTCAAACTATGCCGAGGTTAATAGATAGTCGGACCTGGGATTTATTGCAAAATGTTTGTGGTTCTTATTTAGATCGCTGAAACACATGATGCTTGTTTTCGGAAGGTGTTCTAAAAAATGATAAGATTGATACCTGATTTTCGACTTGGATAACCACTCTCAGAGTACAGCCATAATCCGTTGCTTCTGACAAGTAGCGAAAGCGTTGAACCTACACGTCTGAATACTGCGTCTTCGAATGATGGGGGTAACCTCTCCATAGATCATGATCCATCAACTTTTGTGATTTGTGTTCCGTCACGTAGAAACCCTCTCTACATTTTTTCTAATATATCGATGGGTTTCCAATACCGATATTGTGCTGGGCAGAATCTCTTCAACTTTGAAAAACATGCAAGACATGTGTATTTTACGGATACATTAACCAGTAATTTGAATGACATTTGCCTGTTGTCTAATTTCTAATTCCTACGATTATTTTGGTTTCTAATGCAATGTGCGATCACAGAAAAGACAGAACTAGACAAGTCTAAGCGCCAACCATTTAAGATCATCGATAATGTGTTTGTGTGGTGACCCACAGTAACATTTTGCAAACATCACTATGCCTGTCATACATAGCCATTAAAGAACGTTAGAGCAGTCTTCTTCAAGCCTGTTATGCTCACTCTCTCTCAAGTCTTCCCAATTTGTCGACGTATGTCTGCTTTCAAAACACAACAAGACGTGTCAACCCGTTGAGCCACTATTTAGCGTCCCTACCGCGTGGATGCCCATGCCCATTGCAGTTGTGCTAATAGCAAATTGAAAAATCAAGTGGTTTCTAAAAGATACTGGGCACTATCGTTGACTTTCTCGGCATCAGTATGGTTCTCTATTTATCGAAGTTATATTTGGCAAAAAAACTTGTGCATTTGAGGCACAAAAACGGCACCATATTATCATTTGAAATCGTCTCTCTGCTTCTAGCGATGGATACACCAACTGTTCTTTTGTGCACTCCGAATCAGACTGAGATGCTCTCTCTTTTTTGTTGTCGACGAAGTGGCTTTTATTTAATTCAGATTTATTTCAGCTTTTTTCTTTGCTGCTTAGTTTTCACTGAGCGTAAGGGAACTATTTGAATCATAACCTCAATATGCTGCCATATAACCTAGACTGAAATATGGATTCCGCTCCATGTACTCCAGTAATCACTGTGCCTTTCCGAAGCAGTGGCGTTGGCACAACTCCAACGAGGTCTTCACTCTGTCTTCCTCACAGCAGTGTATCAATTTTTTTCTGCGAATGTCAGCAATCGCTCGCCAACGAAATTGATCAAGGGTGCACAAGCCAGCATCAAACCAACATTGAAATTGCAATTTGACAGGCTTCATTTGACGCCTAACATCAGGCTGAGGAAATATTTCCTTGACACTTGAGAAAAATTTGTTTTATGTTTGTTTCACAGAGCTTCGCTTATTGTAAACTCATGTGAATATTCCAAGAATATTCCTGACGTTCGTGCGCTATTACAGCAAGACAATGCCAAACCTCACGTCGCAAAGAAGTCTAAGAAAAGTCTGACGATTTGAAGGTAAACAAGGTCTGGCCGCAGCCAGCCCAAAGTCCCAATGCTGCGCCGTCCGATTATGGTCATTTCCGCTCAGTGGAAAATTTCCTGCGTGGATGCCGATTTGAGACATTTGGTCAGATTGGAGAGCCATGCCGGGAGTTCCTTGATTCGAAGCCCAAGGAATAGTGTTTCGAGCAGATCCGGAGTCTTGAAGGTCGTTGGCAGCAGGTAACGGATCATGATGATTATTATTTTAAATAATAATTGTTGCTATTTTTGACCAAATTTATGCCTAGACCTTGAATTTCCAGCGACGTGTTTAGAACTTTTTCTCAACCGAATATCTATTTCAACGGTATTTTTGTGGTTGTACATCACACTTAGAGCGCATGTGGCGCAGTGGTTAGAGGTGCCCTGCGTCGCACACGAGGTCGATGGTTCGATCTCGCGCTCACGGCTCACCAAGCCATCCATCCCTCCTGGGGTCGGTAAATGGTACCAGACAGGTCTCAGACTTGTCTGGGAGGATAAGCAAGCACTGACTCGAACCAGCGGGAGGCCTCCGCGAGTCATTCTAAAAGGCCAGATATGCATTCAATCACCTCAAACGAAGTTAAAAATTGAAGTCGAATGCATGGCGCATCCCTCAAGGATTGATCTACTCCGAGATCTTTATCCTTTTTTTCACATCACACTTGACAAATGTCGGCTATACTTGACTAGTACATCTAGTGATCCAAGCGAATGTTCGTTCGGAATCAAGCAGTGTCATCAATTGAAACAAAATACTGTAGTAAATTTTACAAATCTTCCTGCTCCAGTGGATTGCAGACGTCTATCGAACAACTTCGCTCTTTCGCACGAGTTGATAAATTCTTCCAGTTACTGATAAAACTAGTAGGCAACTTCAGTAGTATGAGTTGCTGTAGAAAGACGAAATGCAATAAACTCAAAAAAAATCATCCTCAATAGGAAAAAAACTGAACATTCCTCAAAGCAATTAAAATCAAGTGCAACTCACCTCCGCAGTGCAGGTAGAAACCGTGGTTTTAAGGAGCTCGCACCTTTTTTAAAATATGTTTGTTTCCAGTAAAGATGCAAAAGGTTCGGTGAAAATGGTTCTATCAATCTATCTATGACAGAGCAAGTCTGCTGATAATCATTCAAAAGTTCTTTCTGGTTAGGAAAGACCAAATGAAAAACCGATCTCATTCCTTGCAGAGGAAAGTTTCATAAGAATGTTCGTAACCATTCGAAAGCTGAAATTTCTGACTACAGCTCCACTTCGCCGGTTTTCTAAAACACCCTTTCAGAGCGGTATGATCTCCACAAAAGTAGCACTGATTTCTCGCCTAACAAAGCTCTTTTTCTAGACTATTAGTAGTCATAAGATAGCGTAGGGATTCCTGATGCCAATGTTGTGCTGATATTCTAGGGAAGACCGTTTCTGCGCAGCGCAGCAAGTAAAATACGTTGGATTCGATGGGTGAGGAAAGGACGATCTGGAGCCATATCACGCTGCGGTGGATGTGGTGCTGCTGACGCAAGTTTTCCCTACGCGTTCATAGGTTTGAAAAGCGATGATCGCGTCACCGTCATTGGCCGAGGCAGCCCAACGCTCACGTGATTCGTGTGACCACGTTTCGCCTACATGCGAAATTCGACTTGCTACCAGCTACGTCGCAGCTTATTTTGCCTACTGCGTTTCGAACAAAAGCTCTTTTCATGATATAAGCGCAGCGTTGATATTGAATTCGATTATGTTATCGGATGATCACTGATAGTTCAAAGAAAGTGTTCTGTCCAGCGAGAAATATCCGTGTCTGAAGTCGAGAAATCTCCTCCTGTAGCGACGTTAAAAAAAGCCTTTTTCGAAAACCGGCGACTTAGTGCTGTAGCCTCAAGTCTCAGCTGTTGAATAAATACTAGCAATGATGTAGAGTGGTTTGCAAAAACGTTTGCGTCACTTGGGATTCGAACCCACATTTCACTCCCTCAGGGGCGCACGCTGAACCGTTGCACCACTGACGCCCGTTTTTTTGACATCACTCTGAATCATTGGGTATACTGTAACATCATACCACTCCAAGAGGCGGCCAAATTAAAATGATTTCTAATTACTAACACACCCATGGATGGTTCCTCTCCTGCGAATGAGATTAATTTTTAATTTGTTCCGTCTTAATCAGAAGAAACCCGTAAACAGCTTGTTTCTGGAAATTTAATTATTTCAACTGCAGGAGTTCGAGCAAAACAATATCGACAACATCAGGGCGAAAAATGCGCAAAGTGACAATCCAATTCATCAACCTAATCTTTCGATACTTCCGAAGCTCAGAGAGGATTCAGATTTAGAAATTTTACACTCTAAAAAGTAACTATCAAAATGCAATGGTTTAATTCGTGACTGAAGCAAGACATCGCAGATACAAAACAAATATCAACTGGATGATATAAGTTACCACTAATGAGTAGCAGCAGATGTTCAAAAGATATTATACTAGAGAATTCCGTTTGGAATAAGGTGGAAAACAATTTTGAAAGCGAATACGCAGCTCGGTTTCTGCATTAAGCGCGGAGTTTCCCCGCAGATAGATCTCGCATTGTCACGGACCTTCTCAATTTGAGCTGATGAATCCAAGTATAACAACGGTTCCGCGGAGCAGTTGCTGGTTTTTCGGGCGAGGGTCGCGGGATCCCGAAGACAAACGGTTAATACGCTCCAACGCGAATAGTCCTTTATAGGGCGCGGCCACGACAGCTACCGTGTCATCATCGTGGCTCAGGCCATTTAGTAATCCGTTCGGTCCGTGACCGGCCGCTGTCGTCACTCGTCCATTACAATCTTATCATTTCACTACAAGTCGTTCAACTATGTTCTCATCATATCAGTCTCTAGTCAAGCCCATCGAATTGTAAGCGACGCTTACGACTAAGTCGGTGGACCAAGTCCTTATGGTTCTGTTTGACCCGCCAATGCGAATGGGTTTCAGTCCATGTATATAATCGCCCAATATAATTCTGACGTATATAATCACCCACTGGCTCCTACCCTTGGTGTTTAGGTCTTGTTCGAGGCAAGCTTAACTGCATCCCGAGGTCCGTCGTATAGTCAAGCCCCGCAGTCCTAGTTCACTTCATTGGCACTAAATAGTCTCTTGTTATCGTTATATAGTTCTATATAGTCATGGTATATATATTATTGGCATATCACCACTGTGATGATGTATATATATTTCAAGTTGTTGTCTATTCCGACTCTATCATTGTTTTCTATAGTGACTACACCATTGTTGTCTACAGCGACTACATCATCGTTGCCTAATAAACCAATCATCTGTCGTGTCCAGCCCACTACAGACCGATAGTGGCAATCAATCAATTCATCAGTCAATCGCACACAAAAGTCCATCCTCATCAAGAGGCCGGACGGTAGGAGGTATTCAGCAGAAAAACCTCCACTCTCGTGTATCATATAAGTGCGCAGGAGCTACGCCGTTGCCCTGCTTCACAACGGGCGTGTAGCGGTGTTTCTGTGAACAGAAACTGTGACCTACGAGTTATTTCTACAAAATTTGTCATTTAGTGATTAAGAACCGCGAGAGGCGGAGAGGAGTCGACTTCAGCAGGTAGGATTCTCGTGCACTATAGAGGAGAATGGCGAGATCCGCCTACCACACTTCATATTCAGAGGTCAGTAAGCATTTCCTGGATATTTAAGCAGAACACAGTAAATTAAGTGTGTCTCTTTCATTACCTCAAAAGAGCCCTCAATGAGATAGTGTTGGGTGAGATGATTGTGAAGAATCTGTGAAATCTTGGGATCACCCTGGATTGTCTGAGAGGTAAACGACTATGGTGACGATCTGCACTTAAAGCGTATCCGCTCACATCCCAGTTTCTAAAGGAATCCTGGAATTGCAGACAAGAAGGCTGAGGCACAGAGTTATCGGACTGTGCTGATACCGAAGACGCACCACTTTCAACGATGTTTCTGGCAACGGAAAAGAACTGTTCTACGGAAAATGCAGTAGTAAAGGATTCGGCGGCTTTGGCACTTCCGCAAAAAAAGGGTTCTGACAATGAACATCAATTCATTCGAATACCTAACAACCCAATTCCAAGGCATATGATTGAAACGATGTGAATCAGTACCAGTGTATCAAGAGCATATGTTGACATTTGCGAGGAGAACAAAATACTCAAGCAGCAATAGTAGTACAAGAAATCCTCAAAGACCCTTGGGACGATGAATGCGGAGAAAAGAATCAAATGCAGGAAAAGCTGTAATTCATACGTCGGATGTGCTAAAGAATTTTTTAAATTTAATTTTATATGATTATTGTCGAAATATACTGTGCGAGCCTCAACATTTCTTGTCCTCAATTCGTTCCTACGCATTCGTCTTTCACAAAAATCTTTGCAGGTTTCATCTGTAAATCAACACAAAAATTGCTTCAAAGCGTTGTGGTAGGGAGTCGAACCAGCAATCTTCTTCACAATAGCCGGGAGCACTAACTACTCGGCCTGGCGTGGCGAAACCGAAGGTCATCGCCGTGACTCTGTCGTAACCAAATGGTCAACACATTGGCAACAAAGTGAATCTCATTATGTGCGCATCGCACAACACCTACTCTTTACGTGCCATGATCCCCGCGATGGTCACACTGGGCACTAATCCGTGTTACATTGGCTGCGCCCGAACCTTATTTTTGGTGGTTAGGTTTCATTATTGTAGTAAATATTTATAGCTGACTTTTAGACGGTCTCACCTTCCCAACAGCCCAGCATGGCTGAAATGACAGCAATTTACTTGATAGCATTTTCATATTAAACGATTCTTCTTTCCGTTCTGTGTAAATCTTCTAATTGTGTGCTTTTTCCAGCTTTTTAGGCTCTGAGAGAGATGGAACTTCCAAAAAATTAGTTCTGTAGATAAAAACTATAGGAGCAGTGTTGTTTCTGTTCATGAAAGAAAATAGCAAATCACTGTCAATGTCGATTTCGGTAAAACAAAAAAATCGGCGCTGGGATTTTGCGTGCTGTCGAATAAACAAGTAGCGAATATTCGCTTTCTCTCTTTGAATGAAGTGCTTGAAAGTGGCTCTCATGGTGACGTCGTTGGATACGCTTGTGTAGAATGAGATGACATAGAATGACTTTATTACACATTAGCTACCTAACTGCGAATACCTATGTGGTCCACAAACACTTTCAATATATACAGATGGGTTGGTTTGATTTATGGGACTACGCTCAGGGTGAAGTTTAGAAGTCTATTCATTCAGCCGACCGTTTGGGAATAAATCTTATATCATATTACGACCAAATCTCGATGTAAGATCACTTTCAGAAAGTAACATTCGTCATTGCCACAAGAGACAATTTAGATCGAAGGCAAATATCATAAGCTCAAAGTACACACAAAACTACTGCACGGATAGGATCAGAAGCCACGGTACTTGATACGAAACTGGGACGTGGATCCTGAGTAATTCAAGGCCCAAGCTTGTGGAACTGTGTTCGATATATTAAAGAATTAGAAATAGCCGAAGGGGCTATTGTTTTAGTGCCGCACGTGATTCATTTTGAATGAAATCGTAAATTAACCCTTGAATCCAAGTAAGTCTCATTTGTCACATCTGCGACAGGTATCATAGCATGTGATATACAAGTGAATGCCCTTCTGGGAATAAAAAAAAGGTATATTGAACATAGGCCTTGTTTGTGCCACAATTTTTCCAAAATTAGTTTATGGAGAAGCTAATTTTATCGAAAATTTGAGCATTAAAAGTCAAATTAGACGCTTCGATCTCTGATCACATTTGCAGGACAGAACTAAACAACCTGCCTGTGTACACCGAAGGTATTTTGAACTGAAATTTCAAACAAATTTTGATCATCTTCTAACAGTAGTAAAGAAATTGACCAACAATGACGATCTAACTATTCAATGGTGCCTAAGAACTAAAAATCTTTTCCATTTGCTATCAAATCCAAAGTCGGCTAATGGCCACGAATTTTTTTCAACAGATTAAAATGAATTCGACAAGCTCTCCATTTGCGGCGTTTTTGTTTGTCCTGCTGTACACATCCACAGTAGATTCTTGCTAGTTCGTTCGTCTACTTACGGTGGAATATGGCAATCACCTGCAATTAATACATTCTAGCGACGCACGTAAAACTTTTTGAAAAATTGGGAATCATTGCCCATAGTTTTCCAAAAGATACACGAGCTCACCGCTGGCGGCTTTTTTTGCAAAGGTAGAGCTCAGTGTGGGCGTCGGCCACCTATGGAGCAGGCGACACCTCCGAAACACGTGTATGGCTCTGATGTAACAACTTTGATAAGGCTTCAAACATTCTTACAGATTATATAGTACCAAGCAGTTGAGAGAGAACTAGTGAGTGTACATGTAGGTTTCGCTTAGTATTGTAATCTATTCATAGCTGAATATTAGGTCTCCAATTAAGTTCCGAAATGCATCCAAAAAGTCAAAAATTTTTTTCCCAAGTAATTAAAAGTGCCAAATAACATTAATTGAAGTATTTTCCGTCTGCATAGATGCAATTCTGCGAACGCTCCGGCAACAAATCAATTCCGCGCTCATACTCATTATTTTTCGATGCAAACCAAACAGTCAATTCTCGACGCTAATAATTGATGTCTCGAGACTTCTTCTTGTGCAGCCAGTGCTCCAAGAATTTCAAGGGATGGAAATCGGATGGAGACAGATCTGGCGAATACGGCGGATGATTCAACTGCTCCCAACCCAAATCGGTCATGTTCAATCTTTTTTCCTTAGCAACATGTGGATTTGCAGTCTTGAAGCAGTAAAGCAGTAAGTTGCGAATGACTTTCCATGATGGCCTCATTGCTGGACAAGTATTTGCAAAGATATACCAATCCATGCGCAAGAAATTTTTGTACAAAATAGGCAAAAGAAAAATCTGTTTTTTGAGGAAAATTTTTTAATTTCTAAATAAAGTGCGGAAAGTTAGTTGGAGACCTAGTACTTCAAGCCTAATCT